CTGACAACTCTCCTCCCCCCACCATCCACACTACATTCTCTGACAGCTCTTCTCCCCCCACCATCCACACTACATTCTCTGACAGCTCTCCCTCCCCCACCATCCACACTACATTCTCTGACAGCTCTCCATTGTCTATAGTAGCTTTTCATTTAGGTTCCTTCCAATGTCCTCTTTCCAAAAAAAAGTTTTTTAGTTGTAAGAGTACCCCCTTCCTCCAGCCCCTCTGTAATGTAGGAGCCATTCTCAACAATGGCCACCAATGTAAGGACACCATTTGCAGCGATAGCCAATGTAAGTGGTCCCATAACTAAGACTTCAATTCCTGATTGGATGCAGCGGAATATTTCATTTTGTTTTTTTTACATGAATCCATTCTGAAATTAATAGGCAGACATGACTCTAGTTATTATTTCTGTTTTTTATCGTCTTTTATTGCCACCATTGCATGTTTGTTGTCCACATACTTATATAGTTGTGTATGTATTGCCATGATTGCCCATTTGTTGCCCATGTGGATGTTCATGATTGCCAGTGTTTCCCATCTGCTGTCACAGTCACTAGTGTATTGCCCATGTATGGCCATATTTGCCCATGTATTCCCACAGTTAATACCACGATGCCATCTTTGTGTGGGACCAGCCCATGACTAGGAGATACGACAGGTAATAGTCAGGTCTTACCAATGGGTTCTCCAAGGAATGTACGTGACGCAACACCTGAGACTTCACCTATAACCAAAATATCACTTTTGCTAAGGTGTTCCCCCTCTATAAATTCGATTCGCACACTTGTTCTACTGGCTGAATAATTTCCTTATGAGATTTTCTTTGTGTAAAACATTTCCCGCACTCTCAACATGTTAAAGGGCGATCCCAAGTGTGAATTTTCTGGTGTTCACCCAGACTATCTTTCCTAGAAAAACATTTCCCGCACTCAGAACATGGAAAATAATTTTCACACTTGTGAATACTCTGGTGTCTAAGGAATACACTATGTTGCGTAAAACTTTTTCCGCACTCTGAACAGGGAAAAGGACGCTCGCCTGTGTGAAGTGTTTCGTGCGCTTGAAGGCTTCTTTTCTCAAGAAAACATTTCCCGCACTCTGAACAGGAAAAAGGGCGCTCGCCGGTGTGACTTCTCTGGTGTCGAACAAGATCTTCTTTCTGAGTGAAACGTTTCCCGCACTCTGAACAGGTAAAAGGACGCTCACCAGTGTGAATTCTCTGGTGTCTTATAAGGTGCCCTTTCTCAGTAAAACATTTGCCGCACTCTGAACAGGAAAATGGACGCTCACCTGTGTGACTTCTCTGGTGTCTTTTGAGGTCTGCTTTTTTAGTGAAACATTTCCCGCACTCTAAGCATGAAATAAGGCCATCCTGGGTGTGAATTCTCTGGTGTAACTGAAGGCTTCCTTTCCTCCTAAAAAACATTTCCCGCACTCTGAACAGGTAAAGGGACGCTCGCCACTGTGGCATTTCTGGTGTCTAATAAGATCTGCTTTCTCTTTGAAACATTTCCCACACTCTGAACAGGAAAAAGGACGTTCACCAGTGTGAATTCTCTGGTGTCGAATAAGTCTTCCTTTCTCAGGAAAACATTTTCCACACGCCGAACAGGAATACAAATGCTCACCCGTGTGATTTCTTTGGTGCACACTAAGATTTCCTTTCTTACTGAAACACTTCCCGCACACTGAACAGGAAAACGGTCGCTCACCTGTGTGACTTCTCTGGTGTACAATAAGTTTTCCTTCTTATTAAAGCATTTTCCGCACTCTGGACATGAATAGGGACGCTCAGCTGTGTTACTTTTCTTGTGTCTGACAAGTGCTCTACTCCCACACACCAAACTTGACAATGAACTCTCTCTGTCATTGAATGATTCCTGGGAATTCGATGGATCTGTTGTGCTTTCCGCAGTGTGAGATCTTAGATGGATATCTGGGGGGGCAGTTTGTGATCTATCCGAACATTCCTCAGGATTCGAGGGATCCATTGATCTCCTCAACTGGTAAGGTCTGTGAATGTTCCGAGTCATGGGATTCAATCCCGGAGAACATTGTGTGATGTCACTGTCCTCTTCATATCCGTCTCCAGGTAAGAGATGATGCCTCTCTGCGGTATTCCAGACATGGATCCCACCTGTAGGAAAGCATATTTTTTAAAAAAAAAGCAATACGTGTCTCTGAGCTTGAATATGGAATTGGTTTCAATTATAACCACAAAATATGAATAAAATACAATTTAAGAATACAATTTACTCAGATCGTACCAAAATGGACCTTCCATATGGTGTCCAGTATCTCCTCCTCATTTGTTGGGAACATGATGTTATATTGAGGAATGGAGATGGACCTTTCATATGGTGTACAGTATCTCCTCCTCATTTGTTGGGAACATGACGTTATATTGAGGAATGGAGATGGACCTTTCATATGGTGTCCAGTATCTCCTCCTCATTTGTTGGGAACATGACGTTATATTGAGGAATGGAGATGGACCTTTCATATGGTGTCCAGTATCTCCTCCTCATTTGTTGGAGACATGACGTTATATTGAGGAATGGAGATGGGCCTTTCATATGGTGTCCAGTATCTCCTCCTCATTTGTTGGGAACATGACGTCATATTGAGGAACGGAGATGGACCTTTCATATGGTGTCCAGTATCTCCTCCTCATTTGTTGGGAACATGACGTTATATTGAGGAACGGAGATGGACCTTTCATATGGTGTCCAGTATCTCCTCATTTGTTGGGAACATGACATTATATTGAGGAACGGAGATGGACCTTTCATATGGTGTCCGGTATCTCCTCATTTGTTGGGAACATGACGTTATATTGAGGAATGGAGATGGACCTTTCATATGGTGTCCGGTATCTCCTCCTCATTTGTTGGGAACATGACGTTATATTGAGGAATGGAGATGGACCTTTCATATGGTGTCCAGTATCTCCTCCTCATTTGTTGGGAACATGACGTCATATTGAGGAATGGAGATGGACCTTTCATATGGTGTCCAGCATCTCCTCTTCATTTGTTGGGAACATGACGTTATATTGAGGAATGGAGATGGACCTTTCATATGGTGTCCGTATCTCCTCATTTGTTGGGAACATGACGTATATTGAGGAATGGAGATGTACCTTTCATATGGTGTCCGGTATCTCCTCCTCATTTGTTGGGAACATGACGTTATATTGAGGAATGGAGATGGACCTTTCATATGGTGTCAGGTATCTCCTCCTCCTTTGTTGTGAACATGACGTTATATTGAGGAATGGAGATGGACCTTTCATATGGTGTCCAGTATCTCCTCCTCATTTGTTGGGAACATGACGTTATATTGAGGAATGGAGATGGACCTTTCATATGGTGTCCAGTATCTCCTCCTCATTTGTTGGGAACATGATGCTGTATTGTAGAATGGAGATGGACCTTTCATATGGTGTCCAGTATCTCCTCCTCATTTGTTGGGAATATGACGTTATATTGAGGAATGGATGGACTTTTCATATGGTCCTCTCTCCAGTCAGAAACGTAATTATCTTTTCGTTGACTTTTAAATTCCTCTAGCTACTCTTGAGTAGTGACGTGGAGGCTCTTTGATGTGAAGTGTCTTGTTGGGAACATGTTACATTGATAAAAGGAGATGGTACATTCATACAGTATATGTCCTCCTTTCATCAATGTAACATTGTAACTAAGGATCGTGGTGTTCACAAAGCAATGATTTTCTTCCTGTTAGCAATTAAAATTTCTTAACTACTTTCTTATTGAAGGATGTCAAGTTCTCCATCTTGAACAGGGACAGAAGAAACTTTTGGGTATACAAAAGTGTTCTTTGCCGTATGAGCTGTGAAAATGAAAAATGTCTTTGATGAATCTCTATTTTACAGCAAAAATGATTGGATTTGATCCTATCTAAATATATTTATGGCTTCCAATATTTGTGGAGGAAAAAACAGTGTTGAATGTTTATCTGGGTTGTTATTGGATTGCCATCTGGAATTAGGAAGGAATGTGTTTTCTGCCTTCATCTGGATCTCTAAGTCATTTTAGTGGGGTGAACTTGATACACATTTGTCTTTTGTTAATCCATAAAATGATTTGAATAAATATACTTTGTACTCATAGAAGCAAAATGAACTGTTTCTGCATTTTGTGATTATCACTTACTTGTGTCCATATGTAGAGAAGATTCCTCCTGTTTACTTGGCATATTCATCTCCCCCTCCTCCATAGACTGCTGATCTCCACTCACCAAGGTCTCTCTTCTTCTTCCTCTTTAATTTCAACTTTGATGTCTTTCAGTTCTTCACACTAAACCCCGAAAATGGCAACAGAAACCATTTATAGAAAGGAACAATATATTACAAAGAAGAATGTGGTCTTGGAATGCATTTTTAGGTCTCCATGCTCAGTCCCACCTACCTGATGATGGTGAGGGATGGTGTGACCTTCCTGTGTGGAATTCCAGGAATACAGAGGACGGGGACATTTCTCTGGTGGGTTCCCATGACTGGATCCATCTACCTGATGATGGTGAGGGATGGTGGGATCTTCCTGTGTGGAATCCCGTGAATACAGAGGACGGGGACATCTCTCTGGTGGGTTCCCATTACTGGATCCATCTACCTGATGATGGTGAAGGATGGTGTGATGTTTCTGTGTGGAACCCGGGAATACAGAGGGCGGGGACATCTCTCTGGTCGGTTCCCATGACTGGATCCATCTGTAGGAAACACACACGCTGACTGAATCCATTGTTTCTATGTGTTTATCAGATGATGGGGGATCTAGGTGGACCCTCCGTACTGCTCTCTCCTTTACAATAAAGTCTCCTCTTACCCGGTGATGTGAGGGGCGGCTGATTGTCCATCATGACGTCCTTGTAGAGGTCCTTGTGTCCTTCTAAATACTCCCACTCCTCCATGGAGAAATAGACAGTGACATCCTGACACCTTATAGGAACCTGACACACACACAATGATACAGTCACCATCCAGACACATCCCTATCTGTTACTGGAGAATGTCCCAAAATTCCTGGCACCGCTCACCTCTCCTGTCAGCAGATCAATGATCTTCTGGGTGACTTCTAGAATCTTCTTGGCACTGGTTCCCTCTGCTATCAGGCAGTGAGGTGGAGGCACTGTGATGGGTGATGTCCTGTGAAGACGGCTGCTGGGTGATAAAGGCTCACCAGAAATTTTCTTTGCAACTTTATAATCCTGTGTATAGAGAGAGAAAGTAACAATTATCACCACAGACTTCCCAGAATCCTCCTCACCTCTCTGGTCAGGTCCGTGTTTTATTAATAGAGATGAGAGTGATGTTATGTGACGTCCCAGAATCCTCCTCACCTCTCCGGTCAGGTCTGTGTTTTATTAATAGAGACAAGTGATGTCATGTGACTTCCCGGAATCCTCCTCACCTCTTCGGTCAGGTCCGTGTTTTTATTAATAGAGATAAGAGTGATGTCATGTGACCTCCCAGAATCCTCCTCACCTCTCCGGTCTGGTCCGTGTTTTATTAATAGAGATAAGAGTGATGTCATGTGACCTCCCAGAATCCTCTTCACCTCTCCGGTCTGGTCCGTGTTTTATTAATAAAGATAAGAGTGATGTCATGTGACCTCCCAGAATCCTCCTCACCTCTCCGGTCAGGTCCGTGTTTTATTAATAGAGATAAGAGTGATGTCATGTGACCTCCCAGAATCCTCCTCACCTCTCCGGTCAGCAGGTAGATGATCTCCAGGGTGAGGTTTAGTATCCTTTCAGGCACATGGGTTGGGTCTTTGTTCATCCTTCTTGATGTTGTCTTCTCATCTATACCGGACTCTCCTCTCTGTAGACGGATAATAAGCTGAGAATTATCTGGACTGTACCGGGAGGAATGATGTCCGCACAGAGTTCCTACAGAGTTCCGACACCTCAGATGGCTTCTTATACGATATTAAAGAACACTTAATGTAACCCAGACATCCCTTTAATGCTCAACTCTAACCAAAACCTTTTATTTTTGGTTTGAATTGACTTGGAGAAGAAGTAGAACCTCCAATGGGGATCTTTATGTTTAGGGCGATTTCTCTTCACTTCCTGTCTAGGTGGCCAACGTCATACAGAATGGGATGGGAGGGGGTGTTTGTATATTTTGTAATTTTTTTTTTTTTTTCAAAAAATACAGGTCCAAGGACCTTAGTCCTATATCCTGTAAATACCTCCCACAACGTCTTCAGGTTTTAGACATATGATTCAATGTTTAACAGTTATTGCTTTGTTTTACGGTCAACTTACTTTCTTTTGATTCCATACTTTAACGTGTATGTTACCCCCAACATTTCATGCTTCATGTTTCTAATACATGTCTTCTGTACCATGTACTTGTATGAAGAAGTATCCTGTTCTCTTTCTATTGCTTCCTTCGTGTGAAATCCCTGGTGTTCCTGCCAGTCTCCTTGCTTTCCTATTGCTAACTGACCACGCTAGGCATGAGAGCACATCCATCTCAGAGTGGTCTCTTTTCTGGCTGTGCTGGGAGCAACGGCCAGTCTTGTGCTGCCCCTTCCCTCCTGCACAGCCATTCACTGGGAAGATCAGTGTATTACTCTCTGCCTCATGCTGACACACCTCTCTAAAGTCTCCACCCCCACCTCTTCGAAGTCTCCACCCCCACCTCTCCAAGACCCTTATGTGCTGAGAACAGAGATTATGTTATCACTTATTTAAAAATGGAAAAAAAATGGTTAAGTACATAGAATCAGAAGCCCAAAGAACCGATTGTCTCAGCTCCTGGAAAGGAGGTCCACCGGTAAACCATGCTGAGACCCACCAAAGTGGCTTTAAAATGGCACCGGGCCAAATAGCCGCTAACCCCGTGTCAATTTATAATGGCAGTGGGAATTCACGTGGTTAAGTGCCGTCACTAAGGGACAAATCCCTGGTGACAGGTCCTCTTTAATGAGACATCATGGCTGAAGACACCATACATTTGCAGACCACAACCTGCCAAGGACATAGGAGCTACCGACCCAGCAAGCTGGAAAGCAGTTCTGTTCCTATTGAACGCCTTACGTCCACGGCAGTGAAAGAGTAGTAAGTGTGGATTGCCCAGTCCTCCAATAATATTTTGTGATGCTACAGATGGAGCCACTTTCATGAAAGAACGAAAATCGTGGCTACATACCTCTTCATAGTGGCAAAACCTGCCATTGCCAGGGCTTGGAAGAAGCCCTCTGTTGGGTTCGCAAAAGATGAAGAATATCTTGACCACCCTTATGGTTCATGAGAAAATGACTAGTATACTCCATGTCTCACACTCCAATTTGTGGATTCCACGGTGGTCCCCACTCTGCCCTCAACTTGCCTGGGTATCCCATGCTACCAGGGGATGTTTTAACTTGCAGCCACCTTTTCTTGCTTCTACCTGACTTTGCTCCTTCTTTCTTCCATCCTTTTTTCCTCCTGCTCACTCTCTTCCTCTCTATTTCTTCCCTTCACCACCTTTTCCTAAAAGTCTACAGAGTCCATCATTTTACGAGGATGGACATGACGGGGAGCGGGGGGGTTACTGGGTGTAAATAGAAAATAAGATCTTATTACCTCCTCTACAGCCAGTTCCAGCAATGTGAGGAATAGCCACTACCTATCTCTCCAGAAAATTCTACAGTGTCCAGCATTTTACGAGGATGGACATGACGATGGAGGAAGAGGACGGACATGACGATGGAGGAAGAGGACAGACATGATGGGGGTTACTGGGTGTAAATAGAAAATAAGATCTTATTATCTCCCCTGCTGCCAGTTCCAGCAATGTGAGGAATACCCACCACCACCTCTTTGTCAAGCTCTGGGTCCGTGCACCCAGTCATATGTTGACACTTCTGATACTGGCTACTGGATGCTATTGCTTCCCTTTCCTTGGGATTTCCCTGAAAATAGGATTGTTGGTTATCATATGTTTTTTCTTTTGTTTTTGAATCGGTCAACTGCATGGGATATCACTGTTCAGTTTGTACTTTGATATTATTACTCAATAAAAATCATTGTACCTAAAATAAGGAACATCGCAAACTTTATCCCTTTTTTTCTATGTACTGTAGGAATGCTCGTTCCTTCGGCTGCCTTGATTAGAACTTGTACTGTAGCTCAGTCTTCTTCCTCTCCAGAAAATTCTACGGTGTCCATCATTTTATGAGGATGGACATGTCTATGGAGAAAGAGGACGGACACGACGGGGGTTACTGGGTGTAAATAGAAAATAAGGTCTTATTACCTCCTCTGCTGCCAGTTCCACCAATGTCTCCTCTCTACTTCCTCCAGACTCCCCTCTCACCCTTAACTTCCTACCCCTACATCACTTCCTCTCTGTACCTACATCACTTCCTGTGTGTGTGAGAGCGCCACCTTGTAGGGAATGTACAATCTGATGCTCTCATCATGTTTTCACATTTTCTCCGCTGCCTCGCTCTTCAGTATTGTAGCGCTCATTACTACACAAGATTAGAAAACCTCTAAAACACAAATATAAAAATTACGATAAAAAAACAAAAACATGATATTATATTAATATTTCTGAAAAAAATAAAATACTGCGATACAAAATTATTATTATTATATTATTCAGGATTTCCAAGAAGTGCATTACATTATGAAGGGGGGTAGTCCAGTTATAATATAATCCAATACAAGAGGAAATCAGAGGGTCCTGCTCGTAAAGCTGTATTACCGTTCTAATTCACGAGACTTCAATCTATCTATAGCAGCCTCCTAGTTAATCTAGGGAGAGCTAGACTCCAATGGTTAGAGAGGGGCTGAGTAGCAGCCCAGGTGTAATAGCCAGAGGGGTAAATTTGTGGTCAGGGCTGAGAGGCTCTGCAGGCCAGCCCCTCTGGAATTTCATTCTGCTCTAGGACTTTTGGAGGAAGACACTAGAGGCAGATGAGTGGCTGATTGCTTTTTTGAGAGATCCTAGCCAATGCCCAACAAGAGGTTGGCAAGGGGCTGGACACCCTTAATAGAGCCTGCTCAGTGGGAGGGAGAGTGAAGAGTGGAGGGAGAGTTTGGGTGGAAGATGTGAGGTTGAAGGAAGCAGGCTGCAAGAATGCCCAGTGGGATGGGCCTACCTGCAGTCCTGAGCTGGAAAAGAAGAAGGCTCAGAGCTCACCGCGCCCCCTTAGAGCGAACCACCTGTATGGCAGGGAAGGAGTGGCCTGGTAGCAGCCACCAACCCACAAGCAGTACAGGAGAGGAGCTGAGTGAGTACGCCATCCACACTACATTCTCTGACAGCTCTCCTCCACCATCCACACTACATTCTCTGACAGCTCTCCTCCACCTCTACATTCTCTGACAGCTCTCCTCCACCATCCACACTACATTCTCTGACAGCTCTCCTCCACCATCCACACTACATTCTCTGACAGATCTCCTCCCACCATCCACACTACATTCTCCGACAGCTCTCCTCCCCCACCATCCACACTACATTCTCTGACAGCTCTCTTCCCCCCATCCACACTACATTCTCTGACAGCTCTCCTCCCACCATCCACACTACAGTCTCTGACAGCTCTCCTCCCCCCACCATCCACACTACATTCTCTGACAGCTCTCCTCCCCCCACCATCCACACTACATTCTCTGACAGCTCTCCTCCCCCCACCATCCACACTACATTCTCTGACAGCTCTCCTCCAACATCCACACTACATTCTCTGACAGCTCTCCTCCACCATCCACACTACATTCTCTGACAGCTCTCCTCCCCCCATCCACACTACATTCTCCGACAGCTCTCCTCCACCATCCACACTACATTCTCTGACAGCTCTCCCCCCCCATCCACACTACATTCTCCGACAGCTCTCCTCCACCATCCACACTACATTCTCCGACAGCTCTCCCCCCACCATCCACACTACATTCTCTGACAGCTCTCCCCCCCTATCCACACTACATTCTCCGACAGCTCTCCTCCACCATCCACACTACATTCTCCGACAGCTCTCCCCCCACCATCCACACTACATTCTCTGACAGCTCTCCCCCCACCATCCACACTACATTCTCTGACAGCTCTCCCCCCACCATCCACACTACATTCTCTGACAGCTCTCCCCCCACCATCCACACTACATTCTCTGACAGCTCTCCCCCCCCCCCCATCCACACTACATTCTCCGACAGCTCTCCCCCCCATCCACACTACATTCTCCGACAGCTCTCCCCACCATCCACACTACATTCTCC